TTTTACATTGTTAATCAGGTATAATTTTATTCATTCTAAAATTCAAATTCTCACGTTGTTTTAATGTCGATGAAACAGTTACGTTTTGCAAACTCCAGACATAATTTAGATTTTTATTCTTTTCTAAATACCTAAGTAAGGTGGCTGTAACGTATCTCGATTTTAACCCAGGCGGGGTTACATTATACCTACTAGTAGGTACAGTTTCTAATTATTCAAACTTGAAATAATTTTAGATTGGAAAAAATTCCAATGACGGATTGTGTTTTAGTTAAACCTAGGTAAATACACTTCTTGAATCGAATTATATTTGACATTTACCTAAATTTTTTTCGTAAACCACGTACTTAAGTAGATGCCTATGGGTAAGTCACTTTTGGTTCAAATTGACCAATCAACAAACGCCTGCCTGACTCTTAAATTTAGGTAGGTATTTAACATTATAGAAGTGGGTAGGTATAGGTTTGATACATTGTGTAAAAAATGACAAATACCTAATTGTGTGATGAGCAAGGTTATTTGGTCTGCGTCTGGGAGTAATTTACATATAATTTGATTGTATTTAGAAACATATAAAAATAAGTATGTTTCAGCAGTCTGGTTGCCATCTGGCTCTGCCTAGTTAGGGATCAGACGGCCGCGTATGAGATGTGGTAAAAATGTAACTCATTAATATGAAAAGTGTGAACTTACGTAACTGGCTTATTGTGTTTTTTTTCATTAATTATATTGAATAATTTGTTTCAACGACATGATCGTAGGTAAGTATAGGTAAGTTATTAAAAAATAATTTTTCATTGAACAGAGGAAATAATATCTGAACTGCCTTAGATTCCTATCAATAGGAATTTGTTTTAGTTTTGAATATCATGTAGGTAACTAGATAGGTAGGTATCTACTTTTAATTCGTACCTATATAGGTAGGTAGGTAGGTAACTACAATGAGGAAAGAGATTTTAAATGCAAACTTACCCCACCTATGTATTTAGGTAAGAATTTTGACCCCAAATATCAAAACAGAAAGATAGACTGTACCTTCCTAATTAGGTACGTCAACGAGAAATGCAGGCATTGTCAAAGATGGTGGTTCTGTAGTATCTAGCTTTGTTACATAATTTTCGTAATGAGTCATTCTTGTTTTTTTTCATATTTACTTCATCATACCAATAATAGACTGTTATGATGTATATTAATTAAGTAAACATTTTCTATCGCTTTTAATATTTTGTCATTCTATAATTGTTCATTTTTTTTTAATCACCTGTTTTGTTTTATTAATAAACATGTTCATCAGCAAGAAGTTCAATGTTTTCCAAAAATTTACCCGTGTTTGTAACACCGAGACGCCATGCTCTCGACTGCCGGCTTCCCACTCTGCACGGCACGCGGCAAGCTTCCCCGCCCATAAACATGTCACGCCGCACACCGCGATTTACGACTTCTCGCTCTAACACACCCATAACTCAGTCTAACAAAAGGGAAAGCTATAACGTTCATCGGTCCCATGCGGATAGTTTAATTTACGCACACAAACGTAACGAAATGAGCTAGTATGCGATTTAAAATGGGAGTATATGCATAGTTTTTAGATAAATTATGATTGATTGGTGTCATATCTAATTGATTATGATTATGTCAGTGTCATTAAATATCTCGAGTAGAAGTTGTAGAATACTGTATTTCGTTATAGTTAAAGTTTCCAGTTGCTGAACATGGTTTATCTGTAAATTTTGCATTGCCTACAAGAGTCTTGAGCTCGGAGGATCAACGGGCCGGCTACGTTCAAACTCACCGCCGTCGGAGTTTAATGTTTTTATCTCTCTCTAACACACAATTCCCAGGTCGTAAATCTCGAAATGGCCGCATGTAGGTTACGCACGCCGTCCGCGCAATACCGGCGGGAGCGCATAAACTATAGTTTTCTCTGTTTTATTACGTGTTTTACTACACGATAAAGGAGTTCAGAGTATGGAGGGGAAATCAGCTGTTTAGGGCATGCTTTAAACGTGCTGAGGAATGTGGCGAACGAAATGTGCTGTTTGAATGATTTGCAGGTTGCTCTACTTCGTTTTATTTAATTTTAAAAATTTTCTTACATTTGGATAAGATATTTCAATATGAATCAAAGTACACCACCACTATTATGTTAACTGTTAGGGCTTAGGTAGAAGTTAAGTAAGATGACTACTCGTTTCATCTATTTTGAGTAACGGTTATTGCATTGGGAGTTGAAAGAACTGGCTTTGTTCTAAACCATGAGTTGAATGCCCTTAACAAGTACTTCTATTAAATGTCATAGGCAACGGGTTACCGGGTTACAGTTAGTTATAACTGTCTTTAAAAAAATGACCAAAATCCAACTTTTTATAAAGAGTGACATTTCAGACTCAATTAATAATACTACATACCTACCTAATACTTCTTTTAATAAATTGCCTTTCTTAAAGACGTACCGTTGAACTCATGTAGGTATGTATTTCAGTGATACCCAACTAGTTTTGTTCTAGTTGGCACCGTCGTCGCAACTAGGTCTTAATGAACTTGCCGCGACGATGGTGCGGAGTCAGAAGTCCGGATGGTCAAAGTAAATATAGATATAGTAAAACTTGACCTTCACACATGCCAGTGGTTGCCCTATTGTGTAACTTATGGGTACTAACCAATATTTTAATGTGAATGCGAGTTGTGTCGACGGTATATTTTAAAACCTTCACTGCTTAACCGCCTTAATCTTTAAATTTTGTTTAGGTACTCCATAATAGAATTATAAAAAATTACAAAGATTCTTCTCGGTCATCAAATCCAGGTCCCTTTTGAAAAAGGTAATCACTTATAACAATGTAGAGTAAAAACAATGGGTTGCACCCATGTAAAAGTTTTCTCAATTTTTTTTTATTATTTGAAAAATATTAATTATTTAGATTGTTTTATAAAATTATTTCTTAACATAGGTACATAAAGAAATGTATTAATTACAATATCATGTTGTAAAATATTCTGTGTAATGAGAATGGGTGTTAATATCATCATAATAATACATAACATATACCATTATTTTGTCTTAAAACTGGTGGTTCGACTTTTGTCGACAAAAATGTACTTCTGTATTTGTACTTAAAGTTGTCCTTTAATAAAAATTTCAACTGCGATGTTGCAGCAATTCTTTGAAGCTCCCTTAATCCATGAGCTTGGCCTGCGAATATTAGTTCTAATAATGAAACTAATAGGTTATATCACAAACATATTTTTTTTGTACAATTATTATTATTGGTAACATAACAGTTATATTATCAATACTAGTATTTTTTTTTAATTTAAATGTAAATAAATACAAAATATCATTTTTACCTCAAAATTGATTTCACAGTAATTCACGTATACACAGAAATAATAGGTAGATTTCAAAATTTTGTTATAACCGATAGGTATAGCATCGTGACTGTGACAGATGAGACTGGCGCTCCCAAATCTCACTGCGGTAGCGCACATTGGTGGGGGACAAAATGGCCGCCGAAAACGCAGTTCTCATTGGCGGCAAGTTTATCCCTTTCGTAGTCCATCCATTTTGTAAATGTTTTGTTGTTGTTTTTTCTATCGAATAAGTCGTATGTTTCTCTAAGTACAACAATTGTAGATAGTTTGTTTTAGTCACGTTTCAATGTGTAACTGTTTTCTTGGTTCTTAATTAACTTACTTTGTATTTTAATCAGCTTGTAGGTTACTCGTAGGTATATGAAAGTGAATATTAATAACGGGTTCTTTCACCACACTGAGAATCACCTTTTTTTAAATTGAGAAGACCTTATGATTTGTATTATTTTGATATTAATATAAAACGATTTCACGCCAATACTCCAATAACACCTTACACTTATTTGGTATCTTTGTATCTACCCGACTTACCGTAGGTACTAATATAACAAAATATTTAAAAACTGTTTTAACATTACTCTGCTATGAAAGCAGTCAGTCAAAAGGCTGAAGTTGTTCATTCTCGTGCAGTCTAACATTTTGATATCGTACCAAAACATTAGATTATAATCGATTTATTTTTACAACTTAATTTTATTTTTACAGAGTGCATAACTATACATAACTGACGTTTCAAATATGGCATGTGTCTGTATATTTTCAAGCAAAATTAACCAATGATTAAATATTTTGCGAGGACTGCCATAATGCATCGGAATGCGGCGGTAATCAGCGTCACGTGCATATTATTATGTCTTACTTTTAATTACACGTTTCCTTTACATAGAGGCAATTGGAATCTGAACTCTTATAATAATCTCTCATTGAAATGTGGACCAAATGTAGACCGATCAAAGAAAATGGCTATTAATTTTGAAAATGCAATGAAAAGGATCAAAGAGCCGACTCAAGATTTTTTCAAAAAATTTCGAGCTCATTTTACTGAAAAAAATGACTTTACTGAAGAAGATTTTCATCACTTTGAACTAGACTTGCAACGAATAGTATATTCGGCAGTATACCGAATACCGAATATTCGGCGAGGCCCCTGACCGAATAGCCGAATATTAGGCAAAAGTATTCGGCTGGATTTTAGCGCCAAAAACTTGTACAGACGTGAATTAAATTATGTACCTGTTTTATGTACCAATGACTACTTAATAAATGATTATAAAAGAAATGAGAACCTTACCCTTCTAAATTTTGATTACCACAATAATTCAAATACATAGAATCCTCCATTTTTCCAATTCAGAAGATGATTATGTACCTGTGTTATGAACCAATGACTACTTAAATGATTATAACAGAAATGAAAATATGAATATATACGTAATCAATCGATTTTAATTTTTCATTTTACCAATTATTTCTCAATGACAAAATATATTATTTAAGTATTCGGTATTCGGCCGAATAATATGTAGATATTCGGTATTCGGCCGAATATAATAAAAGCAGCCGAATATGCCGAATACCGAATAGTAACCGAATATTCGTTGCAAGTCTACTTTGAACAGTTGGCTATTATGAAAAAGAACCCATACATATATTTGAAGGAGATAGAATTAAAGTTTAGTCCCACGGACAAAAATATAAGACAAAGTGTAAGATTTGAATCAGGTTCTCTGCCACAGAACTTTTCAGTTGAACACGGCGTTTGGGAACCAATGGAAGAAGGACCCAACGTAGAAATTACGAATAGGGGTCTGACAGGATTTGCAATACCAGCTAAAATTGCGAGTCCCAAAGTTATGACTCCCAAAGTCGTCAGTAAAATAAAAAGTAATTCCGTAAAGAAAACGGAAGATGATAGTGAATTAGGAAATATCGTCTGAACGATATTTTCATGATTATTAAATGAATATTAATTTAAAAAAAAAACCACGAATTATTTTCAATTTTAGTACAACAGTATCTAACAGTTAAAATTTCTCATCATTTATTGAATTCCGACTTATACTTAAATAAGTTACTGTAGATTTCAGCTCTAGAGCAATGATCCCTCTTCAAAATAAAAAAAAGCAAAATATCAACTTTTGTAAGTAAAAAATGAAATACTTTAATTTTTAAAACTCAGCGTTATGGAATACTATCTAGTGTAAAATGTATTTTGAAAGTATTTGAACATAATAAGTTACAAAGAACATACTACTAACACCCACCTAGTGGCCATTATCTTTTTCGGTCTGGGCCTAAAAGTATTCGGTTGGGTGTTCTTATCTAACAAGCCCGTTATTGTATTCTAATTATCAGATCCAAGTAACTAGATGTGTTCATTACTGAACATTAATGTTGTTAAAGCGACTCCAGTTTTAGATTAAATATATTTTTGTTGCTTTATGATCAATTGCATGCATGAAAGCAGTAAACAGTATTATGGAAGTAGTGAACAGAGTTATGGAAAGTAATATACATATAGGGAGTGAAAAATCATTTAGTCAATTTAAAAATTTACTCCGTAAAGCTTAAAATATCAAAAGAAGTCTGGCAAGCATGTGTGTACCTATTCTTCTACGTTTGCTTTATATTCAGAATGTAAAATGTTGAAAAGCAGCAATGAGACCCTAAATAAAAAATAAAAGTATGAAAGTGAATTATACTTTTTGAGAAAAGAAATATGTAATTTTATGATTCATTGACATGATTAATATACAAAACAAGTGACAGATTTCAGCATACTTGAATTGTCTGTTACCAAGAGATGGAAACTACTGTAGATTTTGGGAGGTGCGGCAATATGGTTCTGTATGGGTGACTCTCTACTAGTAGTGAAAATATAATAAACAGATGTTGAAATGAGATTACTGAAAATATAAGCAACCTTGAATAATTAATAGAGAAATGTAGCTTTAGAGGTTGTAGTGATGATAACCGAAAATAATTTGTTGAGCTGGTTAAAATGGTCGAAAAAGAAAATAAATAATATAAACTTTAAGAGCCGAGCCGATTATGATCGACCACATAGAATATACACCATTCAAATTAGGTATGTACCTATATGTTAGTTATGTTTTGGGGAAGGGTCAGGTTAGAAGTAACGAAAGCCTTGTATAAAAGGTGTAATATCAGCAGAGGAAGCTAGTCAGACATGTAAGGATAAAAAGAAGTAGTGGGTAGGCTGTTTTTGTTAGGGCAACTTATATCGTGAATCGTCAGGTTGCATTGTTATATTGACAAATTGATTGTATTTTACAGAAAAGAACGAGAGAATTTGAAGAAATTAAAAAAGTGTATTAAAATCAATATCAGAAATAATGTGCAAAGAATGATTGTGCTTCAAAATATTAGCAGTTTATTTTGATTCCAACTGATAGGTATGCTTCTAATAAAACGGCTTAGATCATATTGAAAGTTTCTGGACTCTGATAAATAAGACCTGCAATTAGATTTATTATACATTTATATTCACACAATTTATTCACAATCTATTCATTTTTGTTTGCAGGAACCTCTTTAATTCGTCTGTAGAAAGCATTCAACGCTGATGACGATTCAAAAGGAAAGAACTAGTCTGACGACAGGTTTTTTCTCCTCAGTTCCTCTCAGATTCATCACCAGTTACAACATTAAAAACGGGTTTAGCTTCTGAACTTTCTTTAAATCATGCGGTATCTACAAAGTTGCTGACCCATACATCATAATGCCTATTACAAAACTAATGTTTTATAAATCCATCTGGCTAGCTTGGTATAGTAGGGCGAAACCTCCTTTCTAGGGAGAGGCCTATGTCCATCAGTGGACTGTTAAAGGCTGTTGATGATGATTGATGAAGATGACAAAACTAATTTTTCCACTGTTATTTTATTACTTCAATCACTTGTAACATTGTATAAATTTTGGACTGTGTAACTACAGTCGCCAATACTTTGAAATGTCATTGCGAAATAGGAAATGATCAGGTTGAAATTTTCTCAATCACGAATACACAGAGCGACACGGGGCATCAACGTTGACGTGAGCAATGGCTAAAGTTGTACATACGACATTGAGCGAAAAGTTTGAAGCGATTAATGCCACAGCAAAAAAACCAGAGGCTATCTCGCAAATTGAAATGCAACCTGTTTCCAGAGAACTGAGTTTTCAAATTCAGTAATAGTTTTTTTTATTGTAAAGGTAAAGCCTCCAAGAAACTGAATTACTTATTGTTTTTCTAGAATTGTGTAGTTTAAATAATGGAGCAACTTTCCAGCCGTGCGTACTGGCATCAACGTCTGGTGCATCGAACGATACACGAAGAAACTTTACGACGCCGCACTTGCTTGGATCGGCCGTGCTACGGCCAACCGCCGCCGATACAATTCCATCGCGAGTCGAGACCGGACCGTTCAATTAATCGCTCCGATTAAACTTGTCTCTCGGACATCAATGGTGTTGGATCAACGGAGGGTGGTGGTGTCCTTTTCTGTTGGTCACAGATTTAGTGCGGCGCCGCGGCGTGTGGCGTCGCCTGGCGGGGGGTGCGGCGTCGCTCGTAAAGCATCGGTCGCCACATTCTACTGACGCGCGCCTCGGCGACTACGCGTTGCGTAACCCACCGCGCCATAAACAACACGACGTGCTCGCCTCCGCACCTGACGGCTGACGGCTACTTACCCACGTGCGCCCGACACATTACGTATTGCGCTCATGCCGCATCTAAAACGTTGACACGTGACTTGACGGAGTGAAACTCTCGGAACTCTTTATATTCGGGTAGAACTGTGAGTTTTGTGAAGAAGTTTTAGCGAGCGAAATGGCGCGAGCGCGTTTGCCGTCGGCGAACCGCGGCCGCCCGGCTTAAGGTAAGTTTATTGCCGATTTATGGCTCCCAACTTCACAGGTTCGGTACTTCGGACCACGACACTTCTGGTCGTCAAACAAACTTTTTTCAAGGTCTTTCGAACGTCAGGTGCGAGTTCAGAAACTATTTCGAACGATCAACTTGTTGGTACGGAATGATTGCAATAGCCTATAACGATTAGAAAACTCTTGTTTGTTTTCTGTTTAAAGAGGCTTCATAAACATGCTCTTGGAAACAGTAAGTATATGTATTTACAAAGAAACAAATGATTTTTAAATAAATCATAAAACTAAATAAGTTTACTTGTTATTTAAACCCATAATATGCCTAACTCTACGTATCTGAAGTGACAAAAAGTTGTTATAATGAAACACTATGATCCAACACTATGAACTTTTCAAAGAAAAGAAATCTTAGACCAAATTTTCTTGAAATTTTGCAGTAAAAGTCAAGTTATCACTTGTTAATATTATTATTACCAACGTTTATTGTAACTGTAAAATTAAGTTCTATGGTCTAGTTAGCAAGTTTATGCCGTAACTTGGCTCTACCTAAATTGCTTTCAAAACTAAACCTTCCGGTTAGAGACCTAAGGCCGAAATTGCCTTACAGTTGTCGGAAAATTTTTAAACACACCATACTAAAGACTGTTATTGAGAAGATAGATTACAGTTTTCTGTTAGCGCAATGCTTATAATCATTTGAAACTAATTACGGTGCTCACCGCGTCAATCACGTCACTTTAAATGAACATTATAAGTGCTAATATTAACAACATAGTGAATAGTATGCGGCATAAATAATGGTAGATACACCTAATTTAAAGTAGATTTATATATAAATAGGTATATTGGAATTGTTAACTACTTAACTATTTTAAATCATTGTATAGTTATCAAAAAATAGTCGAACAGTTTAGTACTGGATATTGTAAACATCAATAAATCACTTACATACTCTACTAAAAAAAATTGTAATCCTATGAAAAATTCTTGTACGTTTGGTTTCCATGATCCTAAAGCTAAAAATCTTAAACAATAGGTGGGTATGTAATTTAAATAGAAAAGGTAATTGTATTTCCTATTGAAATTCTGATAAGCAGGTAAATATTGTATTTAGATATTGTATCAGTCAATTGAAATGCCAAAGAGTTTTAATTAAGAGAGTTCAAGAACCAGAAAGCTACTAAAATAAACTTATATTAAAGTTCCCTTATCAAAATACCTACTTTGTAGGTTTAAAGAGAATTGCTCTCATCTAGGCTAAAGGCTTTTTGTACTCTGATGTTATGTTATTAAAAGAAAATAAATATTACATCTGAATTAATAATATATAATCAACTTAAAAAAGGTCTAAGTTCTAAAATTGTAAAAAATAATGTTCTTAATTTTTACTTTTAGGGGTGGATTTTTTTCTTAAAATTTGATTGAGACAACGAAAAGTATACCTCCAATAATAAAAAATACGCAAATTCTTAAATGACGCAGTTTTGAGGTTACAAACAAGTAAATAAAACCAAATTGAAAACCTATAATTATAGTAAAAAGCTTTAATTTTGTACACCATACAAGCAATTAGGTACTCCACTTAGCCCGAGATCGCTTGCAGCCCATAAAAAAAACTAAATTAAAACAAAGTGCCCATACAAATCGGGTAGGAAACAATATGTTTCTTGTTAGTAACCCTTCAATAAGTTCTGAAGGCGCTGGATACTTGGTTTCGGTGGAGCGTAAAATAACCAAATATGGAACAAGTCTAGTATAGGTATGTTGAAAATACTCCCTAAGAAGTATATAAAGAGTATTTTCAGAATATTCAAAAGTACAATAATTCTCTAAATAAACACAATTATTATAAACACTGTCGGTTTTATGTTCCAAATTTTGACTCATTTTAAGCTTACTGTCAAGTAAAGTTTCAATATTATAATTTTTTTTCACAATATTTTGTATTTTTACCGAAATAATGTTATATTATAAACACATTCACTATTTGTCCAGCCCAAGGTGGACTGGTGTAAAATTAGTACATAAGGTATCCACATAGAAATGTGTG